AATGGATTCACTAATAGGATCAACAGATGACAAAATGAAGTTATGACGGAGGTCAGGATAACAAACACTCACATGTAAATGCTTCTGTCAGACGGTATCATATATGTCATTTTTATTTTGCCCATAGTTCCACTTTAATATGTCAGGACCTTACCTAACCTAAATGGCAAATGTATTCTTATTCGTTATTCTGTGTTGTCCCTTTTATTTCTGCCTGTATTATTTACTATTTTTGGATCAGAAACATAATAGAAAATGTTCACATCTATTACAGTTGCTCGGTTATGTACCTTTCTAATTTGTTTGCACTGATAGATCTAGCACAGCCCTATTCACAATCACTATACATTTTCCCTACACTCTTCCTCTGTTCCAATTTTTATCAATCGAACCTGCAAAACAGGCCCAGAATGGCCCTATTCACTATCACCAATAACTTGCCCTGCACAGTCCCTCTGTCTCAATTTTTCAACCTAGCAGTGATGTGATGTGACAACTTTCACATAAAATCAGAAATGTAACAGCCTGATATTCATTGTTTTTTTGTGCCTTTATCAGAGGTTAAAGTTTCAAATAAAACAAAAAAATGTGCATGTGGATATGCACACCCATATCTTTAAAATAACAACAAACACACCTTTAGAAATGTTTAGTATTTGCAATCTACAAACACATACTTCTAGATAATTCCCGGCTTTGTATTCTTTGCATACCTTATTTCTCTTTTCTTTCCCAGTCTTCTGACACTGGCCTTGTTAACTAAGGGCAGGTTGCTAGATCTCCCTTTACCTCCTGGAACTCTGGCAGATGTGGCCAATAATACGAAATCACCTGCAATCCATACAGCGTACAGACCTTGTTGAAAGGTTGCTGCTTGAAGTGACAACACGGATGGCGCCGTGTCAGATACAGTCCATAATAGAAGTCACCAGCACTTGATGATGTGTGCAAGAAGTAAAGCACTATTTATTAAATTGTCACATGCATCATACAGCCAACGTTTCGGGGCCACACAGAGTCCCTTCTTCTGGGCGGCATAGTGGTCAATTATAAGTAAAAGATGGACATCGGCACTCTAAAGCAAATCCAGTACGTCTATTTATTCACGTACTTGTTGCAAATGCAAAACACAAGATACCACAAGATTTGATTTGTATCTTTTGTTTTGAATTTACAACAAGTAGGTGAATAAATAGACGTACTGGATTTGCTTTGGAGTGCCGGTGTCCATCTTTTACTTATACTTTGACGGAAGCCACCCGTTGACACCTGCTGCACCCACTTCTTATCTCATGGAGCAGCGGTTCTGAGTGTGATGGGTACACGGACTGTATAGTGGTCACTATGTCGCCCAGAAGAAGGGACCATGCGTGGCCCCGAAACGTTGGCTGTATGGCGCATGTGACAATATAATAAAAAGTGCTTTATTTCTTGCACACATCATCGAGTGCTGGTGACTTCTATTATAGGACATGTGACCGTGCACATCATCTCAGGGGAGGAAAATGCCTTTCCCGGAAATCTCATGAGATTTCCCAGCAATGCGCTGCTGATGTAACCTTCCCAGGATGCAACGCTTGAGCACATTATATCAATTGTGCCAAAACTGGACCAGGAACATGCTAGTTACCGGGCTGTGCCTGACCTACGTACTGGAACAAGCATGCTTTAAATGAGTGGCAGAAAAGTTAGAGTTTCTTAGCAGTCAGCAACAGTATTAAAATCCAAGCATCAGTGTGACAGCCATGGAACTAGCATTTTCCAAAAATTTAGCAATGGCAACCTTCATACTTCTGCCATGACAGTGTCCCCTTCAGTTGCCTGTAGCTCTGGATCTACTGATCATTTTGCTATGCGGTTTTCACTGAAGGTAACCTCTACTCATGCATTTTTTTATCTCATGCTCTGCCCACATCTGTGACAGGTTTATTTTAAAACCTGTTGGAAAAGATACACATGCATACCTGCATACATACGTGCACACATGTAGGTTGTTTTTTGGAAGCCATATTTGGTCCTATAAATGTTACCTCTTTGTGTGCCCCATTAAGGGGCCCATCACCCATGAGGCATTCTGAATGACGTCCCTTAACACCTGATCGTTTGAATAAATATGTGGATTTATAGAGCTCTAGCCCTATATATGAGCTACATTGCAGGAGACAATAGGATTTATAGGCTATGTTTAAACAAAGGTGAGGTTATATGGGCCAGTGGTAGATGCAGACAGCAGTTATATGGCCATTGGGAAGAGTTATAGGATGGTGTCACATGGAGGGTACACTGGAATTCACACATTTTATTCAAAGTTCAAAGGCAGTGCCAGTCCTTGCAACATCAAGAATGAAAAAAAAAAAAAAAAATTTCCTTGGGCTGTGGAGGGTTAGAAATACAAGTTTATTTCACATTGGATTAACATCACTAAATTTACACACACAATAAAAAAAAGAGTCAGCGCTCAATTAGAGAAGGGCCTTGGGGTGCCCTGGAATCACAGCAAGATCGGTATGCTACAAAAACACATCGGCACAGGGGACACTCAGGTAGAGAACTGGAGAATAAGAGCACAGCTATTTGGACAGGGAAATTACACAGGCTTTAGAAATATACTCATACATGTCTATGTTTTGCTTTCCTCTTCTTACTGCCTCCAGATCCATAGAAAGCCTCATACTATGACATAAACAGCATCATTCAATAGAATCTGTAGCCCACAGTAACCAATCAGAATCCACTGTGTTCTTGTCTGAGAGAAGCAAATTGACTTTTGTTTGTTTTTTATATATTATTAGCACTTTATGATAGGAACCCTTTCTTGAATAAGGCTGTAAGATAGCCACACATATGCCAATTATTGGGCAAGTTAAGCCATTCTAGATCTGCCATTATTGACCTGAATATGGAAAAATACAGCATAGAAGAACTATATTTTTGATGTGGGGCTCTTCCAATGTATACACCTGGCTTTGTTTTTCTCAGGTGGCCATCATAAAGATCAAACATTTTAGAGGCCCATTCAAACTTGTGCATTGCAATAACACTCCATAAAACATGTGTCACCACAACACAGGGCACAATGCATATCACGGATTTTTGTGATACCATACTATGTACAGTATATGAGCCCCAGATGTAGTAGCAGCCAATAAAAAGGCAGGGCAGTGCATCACAGCTATATGCCGTGCATTGTGGTGTGCTGTGTTGCCATTGCATTTTTTGGTCCATTGTAATTTGTTGGCATCCAGTTCATAATGAATGGAATTGCCCTAACACATCACATGTTAACGCACTGCAATAGACCACAATAATGTGAATGCAGGCTTTGGCTGTTGTCACAAAGACAATTCTTTCACTTGCAAGACCTTGTTATTTTCTTTTGCCAACAACACGTTAGTGTGACATGGGTCTGTAAAGCCCAACTTCAGGCACAGCTCTTTTTTTACATTTTTAAAAAATGTTTAATAATAATATTAACACTTTATATTTTTTACTACTTTTAGGAACTCTCTAAGCTATGCTAAGCTATTTTGATATGGACAGTAAGGAGCCGAGTGCCTCTGCCCCCCCTTCCCCCCTCACTTTGCTGTGCCATTCACTAAGCACAGTAATGATGTCACAGCAAAGGGCAGGGACACAACACTGGAACTGGTGTTAATCATAGACTCCATTCTGATGCAGTCAGGAGCCAGAAGTGCAGCTCCCCGCTGTACATATCAGAATAGCTCAGTGGCACTTAGAGAGCTCTTGAAGGAAGTAAAAAATAGAGTATTACTGTGAATAATAAAGATTTAGAAGAGTATAAAAAAATGTGTCTGGAGTTGGGTTTTAAAAGATAGGCTATTTGATAATTGGCAAATTTTACCAATTATCTTAACTTACTATTCTCTATAACAGCAATCTGAAGAGGTGCAGAATGCATATATATATGTGTATATATAATCCTTAAATATTAGAGTCAGATGCACGGTACTCTGCATATGTTACATGCAGTACTTTGCGAGCCCTATCAGCACTGTATTGAACACAGTGATCGCCACTCACTAGTTACACAGTGCTCTGTCTGTAGATATATAATAAATACACACAATATGTGGCTCCGCAATGTTCTGGAGTAATAAACTGTGGAAACACAATATTTGCTAACATTAACATAAAAAGGCACAAACACAATTCTGATCTGGGCAACATGACATCCCATAGATTTAGACACCGTTTCACACACCTATGAACAAGAAAGGTTACATGATGCAAAGGCATAAAAGACTGCAGATAAATAAAATGGTTGCATTTGTTGGTGGTATATATAACTGTAATGCAGCATACTACTGGGAGAGAGGCAAGGTACTGGCCAAGGAGACTATATTCCTGTGTTCCCATCCCTCCTAGTTAGGGTTGCACAGATGCCAAGTACAGTACTCGGTACAAGTACATGTACCGATACTTTTGAGCTCCAAGGCTACACTAGAGAAAAATGCAAAAATTAGGAGGCAGCTGTCATTTGTAAGGAGCACACGGAGCTCCTGGGATTTGTACATCTCTGTTTTAATGTACGATTTTGTTTTTATAAATGTAAATAAAGGGATGCACAGATGCCAGTTTTGCGAGTACGAGTACTGGTACTTGCCGAGTACTTACAAGTACGAGTACTGATACATTTTTGTTTATTGTCATGTGACAGTTTTTCTAAAACAATACAGACTAATGATTTCAGAACAGTGGTGGAGCACCAGAGCCCGGTCCCAGCTGCAACCGCTGTAACCCCGGTAGTTCTCATGAAAATGCCAAGTATCTGCACTGGTACTCGAAAAGTATCTGTGCAACCCTACTCCTAGTGTATAAACACCCCATATAATATATATGGTGACACGTTACAGGTGAAGACTATCGACAGCTAAGGGGAATAATCTGTATATAAGACAATGACATCATAACCCATGGCATGGACACAACATGGCAGGCCTGGAGGATTGATGGCTGATTGTAAGTGAAGAATCTGTTTATTTTTTGCGTAGTTTGTTCTCTGTTAATCCCTGGGGTCCTAAAAAGAAAGATATGGCAATATTAATGTGTGTGCACAACCATAAGTCTGCTATTATATATTTTATATAATCTTCCCTGTAACATTTTATTGCCACAAAGCCTTGTTAATGATTTAGAGATCATTGCAGAGCACTTAACTTTTTTATGTATGTTGTGCGGAATATGTATTTATTTTCGAAGCATTTATTCTTGTACTAAATATTTTACATGATTGCAGTGATTACATTTTTCATTAGTACCCATAATGAGAAGCTAAAGAATCTTGGATTTTGTTTAAAATCTTAATCTTGCAGGCATCATTTACCTTTCCTTGTTCCCTCCCTTTTTATTGTTTGATTCATGTGCAAGAAGGTCTTTGTTCTAGAAAACTTTATTACACAGTGAAGGTACAATAGTTATTTTCTTAAAGGTGAATTCCAGACAGATATAAAAACACAATTTCAAAGTGTATGAATAGCCAAAATATTTTTTTTTTAGATTTTGATAAAGTAGGGAAGGGTAAAAAACCTCTATCAAGTTATTTTTTCCTGTATTTGTGCAGGTGGGGAGATTTCCCTTTACTCCTGTATTTCTACTAATGTCTTGTTCTCATGACAATTCTAATATTTAGGATTTCCTCTTACTTTCTATATTGGTGGCAATAGTCACCAGGACAAATGCAGAGGGTGCATATAAGTGACAGCAATAAAAACTTGGCCGAGGGTCCAACCCTTCCACCCGCTATGCAAAACTAAAAAAAATGTTTTCACGTTACATACCCTTTAATGCAGTTACCCTAGGACAAAAAAACTAATACTGGCGGGTAGGGATGAGTCAGGGTTTGGACCAGGTTCAGTCCAAACATGAGTTCATCCCTACTGGTAGGCTTAGAAAGAAAAGCAAGCCTTTTTTACAAAACAATGAGCTTCAGATGATTTCACTGTTTATAAGCTTTTCCAAACAAGGAAGCTATATGGGCCTCCCACCTCATCAGCTGTGGGTTGGGGCATTACTTGCTCTGCAGCTGACCATAAACAAATGGATGGGATGCTTGTGCTGATGTCACTGACCCCATACGGCCACGTGGCAATATTGGGTTAATGTAATTTACCTAATATAGTTTTGTAGCCATATAAGGTCAATAATGTCACTGCATCCCACCTCTTTGCTTACATGCAATTGCAGACAGGGGAATTCCCCAGCCACAGTTAATTGGGCAGCAGCGGAAGGAGTTTCCTTCCAGGGTCAGAGGAGCTCAGGTAGATATCAGATTCATTCTGAAACTGAGCTCATTCCTACTGGCAAGCTTACAATAATTAAAGAAAAGGAAGCCTTCATTGCAAAAAAGGAGCCTCGCATGATCTCACTAGGTGTAAGCTACCATTTTGCAGTCTTTTTTTTTAGGGTTTTAATATACGACGATATACACTTGGATTTAGGAGGTTTAGATTTGGTTTAACAAAGATGAAAAATGTTGGCTTCTATGTGTTGTAAATAGTAGTACCAGTTTTTTTTTTATCGCAGACACTGTAAACACAGTCCCAAAGCCACTGAAAGCCTGCAAGTCCCAAATCTTTTTGATACACTGTTTTAATAAAACGGGGAAAAAAGCTCTGTTTTTAATTATAGGCTCACAAATGCACAAAAATTTAATAAAAATATTTACTTTGTTAATTTGTCAAATTAATTTAAAAATATTTTAATAGTGCAACTTATCTAATTATTAAATGCATGGCGCTGCAACCAGAAAATGGCAGTGTTCACTCTGATAGGTTCCCGTTCATCATTTGGGACCCAGACCGAAAGTTGAAATTGAGAATCAGCATCCTCACAAAGAGTAAACTGATGGTTTTCAAATGGGAGAAATATTAACATATCCTGGTTAATGCCTGGGAACATTAATATACAGATTACAGACTGGAGAGGGTTAAAGGGGAAAGCCTGTGATTTCTATTATACATACATAAATCTTCATTCTAGTTACATAATCACTTGCTTTAAAGATGTTAGTTGGAATAAATAAATAGGAGAGGCTTACACATTTACAATGTAAAAAACACAATTGTCTTCTTAGTTATCTGTTTTCTGAGCTCCTCGAGCTGAAATAAGGAGAAAGACGCGTCAGTTGAGAGATACAAGAAGTCACTTTAATGTATGTATTTTGTTTTTAATCACCTTTTGAGGCAATAAGGTTTTCAGCCTGAGCTTCATCTCCTGGAGTCCTATAGAGAAGATAAAATATGTAATATATGTAATATAACCAAAAACTGTAACACCGCAGTGCGGCACTATGACATCACCCACACCCCCCGAAATGTCGCAGGCCAGGACCATAAATATTTACATACAGTGATCAGCCATAATATTATGACCACTAAGAGGTGAATAGCATAACAATGATTATCTCATTGCAATGGCACCTTGAAGTGGGTGGGATATATTTGGCAGCAAGTGAAAATGTTGTCCCTGCTGTTGATGTGTTGGAAGCAGGAAAAATGGCTAAGAATTTGATAAGGGCCAAATTGTGATGGCTAGACAACTGGGTCAGAGCAACTCCAAAACTACAGCTTTTGTATAATATTCCCAGTCTGCAGTGGTCAGACCTACCAAAAGTGGTCCAAGGAAGGAAAACTGGCAAACCGGCAACTGGGTCATGGACGGCCAAAGCTAATTGATGAATGTAGGGAGCAAATGAGACCCCCACCTCGCAACTTACATGACTTAAAGAATCTGCTACTGACGACTTGGTACTGGTGATGGTAACGGTAAAAGCTTTCTTTTTTCACAGGACTTTTAAAAGAATATGTATTTGGTGGACTTTCAGTATAGCAAGCGTTCCATTTTAACGACAGGTCCACTTTAAATAATTATTTGTAAAACAAGCATTGTTTGTACAACATGTATAAAATAACAGAGAAAGCAGTTTAATTTATACATTTTACAAAAAATAGATAAAGTTGACCCAAAAATATTGTTTTTTTCTCTGAATACAGTATAGGCATTTTATATTGTTGGAGCTTAGTTGCTTTTCTACCTAATAAAAAAATTAGTAATGAGATACAATCTAAGAACTTTATCTCTCTTAGTCCCAGCCTTAATCTGCCACAATGAATATACAAGCAAGCTAGTAAATTAAATGGTAGTATATACCATTAGTAAGTATATGTGCATACTCATATGTGCACTCCCTCATATGTGCATGAAAGGTAAAAATTATGATTTCTAAATAATTTGTTTGTTGGGTTAACATTCAATACTAGGTAATACTGGCTTACCTTTGCTTTTGGTTAAGATTATTGCATCTGCACCTCCGACCTGCAAAAAGATACACAATATGTAGTAGAAATACAATATGGAAACAGCCCTAAGTAACTTACTAAGTACTGAAAACAAATAATTTAGTAACCTGGTTGTAATT